ATAGCAACAATCAATTTGTTTCCATGGTATTTAATTGAACTTCTTTATTAGTTTTATCACCGCGAATATTAGCAGCCGCGAATATAACCCGACACTGCTAGATTTAATAACTCACACAATCATTAATTTTTATTCACTTAAAACATTTCCATGGAAACAATTAAATCTATAAAATATTTTTTGAGCCCCATTCACAATGTTTACTCAATACAGACAAAAATAATTAATTTACATATTATGTATAATTATTGTACACTATCATTATCTTCTATACTATTATTAAAGATATCACTAATCCCATTAAAGTCCAGATAGCCAGCCAATGGCTCAATGAGTGCATTGATTGATGATACTAAATCACTGAGCACTGGCCTATCATCAGGAGACTCAGACCAACATGAAGTCATCAGGTGAGTAACTATAATATAAGGATAAGGAATTACAAACTCTACTACAATGATACATATCATTAGTTTTAAATCAAAGCACAATGACAAACCCAGTACATGCCCATGGGCATGCTGCCAAGGCAAGTCTATTACATACATTTCTTTTGAGCAGGCTTCACCACGTGGAGCTAGTAGTCTTCCTCCAGTATCAAGAAATTCAACTACTCCTACTGGATCTAGACCAGGATAAGGTACTCTACCAAGACTGAACACTTCCCAACACAATATACCATAAGACCACTGTAAAATTAAAAATAGTAGCGATATCAATATTTCTAGTTACTGTATATAACTGACCACATCAGTTTTTTCAGAGAACAGTCCATCATGGAGGCTCTCTATTGCCATCCATTTCACTGGTAGTTTAACAGTTGTCAAGGATGGTGAGTCATTGCTGTTTCTCTTAAATTGTCTGAAGTAGTTTTTAGCATATATATCTTCTGATAGACCGAAATCAGCTACTTTAATGATACCATTATCATCAATCCTATAAAATTGTATTTGTGTAAAGTTTAATTAGGCTACTAATGCAATTAGATAATCTTTAAGGTTATAATCTAGTAAAGGATTGGTTTGGCATTATTCTGGAATCTGTTGTAACAATAACAAAATAGACAATCCCACAAAGCATGCTCTAAGTAAGCTAAAAAGCATACTTTATAAAATGACAAGCCATACATATGGCTTGAGATTTTGTTCTTAGAGATTATTGGAAAAATAGCCAAATTTTTGAGCAGCTTTAAAAATTTATAAAAAATCCAAATTTGATCAGGATCTAATCAAGCTTGCTAGACAACATAAAAACATGTATATGTATCAGAAAAAATTATAAAAACAAAGAATTCTCTCCTAGTCATTTTTGGTAAAATTTTGACAAAAACCCTGTACTATAGTACAGGGACTTTGGCCCAAAGTTTGAGCAACTTTAAAAATTCATAAAAAATTAAATTTTATTTGGAATTAGCTCAAACTTGATACACTACATAAGAACATCTATATGCATTAGATAAAAATATAAAAGTTAAGGAATCTATACTTTTCATTTTTGATGAAATTTGGCCAAAATCCCTGTACTAATAGCAAGGGTGCAAAAGTTGTGGCAACCATGGGCAAATCCTACTTAGTAACGCTACCATGTTACTAATAGTACAGGGACTTTGGCCCAATTTTTGAGTTACTTTAAAAATAAATTTTGTTGGAATCTGCTCAAACTTGCTACACTACATAATAACATGCACATATATCAGAAAAACTTAATAGTTAACTTAATTATGCATGACTTACATGCAGTTTCTAGCAGCCAAATCACGATGAATGAATCTCTGTGAAGCTAAGTAGCACATTCCATTAGCAACTTGTAAACAAATGGAGAGTAACTGTTTTCTGACATTCAGTACAATATCCTCTTCACTGGTATCAGCTACTGTAAGATTAGCTCTCTCTTTCTTGAGGTAAGACAATAAACTTCCT